ACAAATGGTATTTTATAATTATTATTTTTATTAAATAATTTACATGCATGCAACACACACACACACACATATATATGCATGCATAAAATATATTAAAGATAAACAGTTGTGTTATGTTATTATTTACAGCTGGTAGTCAATGGTTAAATACAATGAGCCTTCCTTCTCACACACGTGATACAGATTTAAATTTATTAACTACGCGTTACATGCGTTTCATTAATTCTACTGGAGGAGGTTCTTGGGATAATGTAACAATGCGTTTAAATACTAATGAAGTACGTGGTTATAAATTTGATGTCAACATTAAACCACATTGGCCAAGTTTATTGACCAGTTCTGGAAATGCTAGTAAAAATAAAAGTATAATAATGTTTCCTTTAACACAAATTGGATATACGTCGCATAAAAAAATTAAATTACATAATCCAAGTAGAAATCCTTTAATAATTCAATTAGTAATGGATTGGAGTTATCCTCAAGGATCAAGATTATTTCATTCTTTACCTAGCAAGTATGTAATATTAATAAAATAATCATTTTGTTGTAATATTGATAAATGAATTTTACTTGTGACGATGATATCATTTATAAATAGGTTCAAACCAATGTGTACAGAATGTTTACCTACGGTAAAAGAGGAATTTAAATTGGAAGACAACCCGGAGGAACGAGAATCGTTTGAAAAACAATGGGACGTTAAGGTGGCTTCACAATCATTTCCTTTCTATTTAAATCCTTCTGAATCCAAAACTATTAAAATAACATATTCACCTTCTTCTGCATCACTTTCATCTGCTCTTATATATATTAGGTATGTATATATATATATATATATATATAGATTTAAAAAATAACATATTCACCTTCTTCTGCATCACTTTCATCTGCTCTTATATATATTAGGTATGTATATATATATATATATATATATAGATTTAAAAAAANAAAAAAAAAAAAAATGATTTATATAACATTAAACATTAACTTTAAATTATTTTAGAAATAATATGACCATCCTAGAAGTGTTACGTGTAATGGGACGAGGAGCAAGTGCACAATTTAGGTTTGGAAATCGTAAACCAGGTTCTACTACACCTTTATTATTTGAACTTGGAGATAAACACCTTAAAGATTGTGAACGTATGTACGTTCCCTTATCCTTATTCTATCGGCTTAGTATGAAAAAACGTAGTTCAAATATTTAATCATTTATTTTTATTTACAATCGTTCAAATATTTCTATCTAATTTAATATAAATAATATGAAACATTGAACATTTGTTTAAAGGTATAATTAAATATGATGAATTGTGTTGATTTTTGAATAGGTGAAAGATCGAAAAGAAATTCAATTCCAAATCTAACGGTTAAAAGATCATTCACTGCGAGAAATACTGGCGAATTATTGGTACATATTTACGATTTTTACATAAGCGGTTCACGTTGCGAAGGATATGGTTTTAAGGTACTTAATTGTGCCCAATTTGTATTGCTACCAAATGTTACGCAAAAGATAGAAATAGCGTTTACGCCAGATTTCACTTTGTCACGTATTGAAAGAAAATTATTAATATTGACGAGTTTAGGAACTGAAAATCAGACTAGTACGATAAAGCTTAATCTATTGGCAACACTTCCTATGCATTCATTGGAATCTTGTTCAGCGATATTGGTTAGACCGTCATGGGAAAATATATTACATTGGGCAGCTGTATTTTTATCATCGATATTATTGATATTTGTATTAGCCGTATCTTTTCTTGAATCGGAACAAATATTAAAAGGTACTTTGGTTAATTCGTCACGAGAAAGTTCTGTTCAACCGCCACTTGATCTTAGACTATTGTCATATGTGCCGGCACAATTGACGGATATTAATAATACATTGAAAGAGAAAATAATGAACGATGATAAAAATAATAAATTTCATAATAAAAAGGAAGACGTAACATCGGAATGGATGTTAATTAATAATAAACGTTGTAAGGACAATAAAGATTTGCAAAAGACATTGAAAATTTCTGATTGGACTTCTGAGGAAGAACAACGTTTTAAATTGGATACAGAATCGAAAGATTTGTTAACATTCAAGCCGTGCGAAGATACGCTTGATAATTCGAATAATATCAATAATATTTCACTTGGTACGAGAAAGAGAAATAATAAAAAACAACAAATCGTTCAAGAAAGTCAATCTGATAATAATTGTCACATTGATAATACATTTACTGAAATTATTCAGCCGGTACAAGAAAAAAAATATAGAACCCATTCTTTAATTAAATCTAGTAGTCCAGTTATAAATAGAAAAACTAAATCGAACAATGTTGCAAATGGAAAAGAAGAATCGTTAAAGTCATTGGATAATGAAAATCAAGGAGATAATATTTATTTAAATAATAAAAGTAATAAATCGGAAAATAAAAGAAAACAATTAACTGGAGGTAGTAATAATAGTACCGGTGGTGGTCATAGTAATCATACGTTAAAGAAACTTGAAATATCATCGCAACAGAAAAACAATGTTCAACAACTTTCAGAAGAAGAAACTTCATCGACGACGACGGAAAGTTCTCTACAGGATGATTCCTCGTCATTATGTAAAGTAAGTTTTTATTTATTTAAATCACACGCACACACATAAAGTGTGTTGTTTATACTTAATTTATCAAATATATATTATTTTACAGGGACATGATCAAAATTGTATAAAAACGGATAAATTACAAAGAAAGCAAGGAAATAAAAAGAACAAATCACAAGCAATCATACCGTCGGTACCTTGTGTTGATTACAAAGACAATTACGAGGGTGATTGTGACGATGACGAATACGACAAAGAAAGGCATAACAATCCGAACAGATGGAAAACAACAAATACAAATAGATCCAGTACGAAATATCACATTCATGGCTCGCGTACAGTTGAATCGTCATATAAATTACCACGACAGAGTAAAAATCTTCCAAGGAAAGATAAAGCATCGCAAAAACGACGTGGAACTGATAAAATTCATACCAAAAGTATATATATATATACATACATACATATATATTCATTTGTAATTAACAAATTTATAATCATACATATGTGTTATACTGTATAATATATATATATTTACAGATTCATCTTTAAATGGTAATACAAATGCAAAAGATGATGGAATACGAAATTTAGGTACAACATCTACGATATCACCACCACCACCACCTTCTGGATGGGGCGAACACAGAGCTAAATTTAGTGACGTTGTTGCTCGTAATCAAGAAAGCAGTATACCAACTTTTTCTAATTTATCAAATTTACATAAAAATCAACCGGTATCACACAATTTATCATTGGTATTTAATAACGATAACAAAGATATTGAATATATGAAACAACAGCCGAACAGCCATAATGAATCGATAGAATCTACCAAAGAATATGAAGTAATGCCAGAAGTTTTACCACTTTGTATACCATCAGTTGGAAGGAATAAATTGATTTGTCAGGATCATTTAATGACGCAAAATAATATCCCACTTACAAATAGTTATTTTATTAATAACTTTATAGATCCTTCAGTACGTAATTATTTATATATATATATATATTATAAATTGGATTAATTTGAAGGAGATCTATTTTTGTATCTTTGATTTGTCTTATTGTAGTTCGAAAGAGAATTGGTACCGTATGATGATCTTCCAGATACGGATGAATTATTGGTCGAATTAGAAAGTCCAGAGGAAGATACGAGATGTGAATTTTGGAATGATAATAGAACTATGGTAGATTTATTATCGGATAGTACAGGTTCTTTTCAATTTGATTCATCTAATTCCCCAGAAAATGGCACAAATTTAACAGATTCTTTGAGAGGTAAAACAAAACATATGTTATGTTCATGTCATTCATTATCGAGAATAATATATATTTTATATACTAATTATATTTATTAATTTATCGTAGATAATTGGGCAAATGTAGAAACTAATTGGGAACCATTATATACTAGAACAGCAGTCGGAGAAGAACGAAGTGGTGTATGGGGTGTTAATACGGGGGGTGTTTGGGCAGCTGCACCTTGGGGTGCAACTGCACAACCACATACTACGTTATCTGTGCCACTACAATTATCAGAATCAGATGCACAGGTAATGATAATTTTTAACAATTATATTCAAATAATTGATATTAAAGAAAATTGAAATAATATTAGGTGGACCGGAAAGTAATGTTTATATTTTAATCAAAACTTGATTGTGACTTTATCGGTCCGGTTATTAAAATTGATTCAAAATAAAAACTTATTAAAAATTTAAGGTTATAAAACGACATTACTTTCCGGTTCACTTAATATATTATGCAATTAAATGAGAATAACGAGTTGGATACAAAATTAGAGTTAAATACGAATTATAACAAAGTTATTATTTTAGGATGGAACTGGATTTGATCCGTTTCGTTCTTTAAATACAATATGGACGCCATCATCAACAGAGTCTTGGAAAAAAAAGCATGAGGATTAATAACTTTCAAACGTTACTAATCTTATCTCGTGAAGATATATTGTTGGCTTGTTTAAACAAACAAATTTTTTTTCTTTTTTTTTTTTTTTGTGAAGAAGTGAAAGTAATGTATTAAAAAAAA